AATTGATAAGTACTCATACTTTAGAGAGATATTAGAAAAAAAACTGATAATTTTTATTTTCAAAGTCGTAATCGATTATTTAGATAACATAATTAATTCAATGACAAACTCTACGTAGATAACAAAATTTTAAACAAATATATTTAAAATAATAACTACAATATTTATATGATTAACAATCGCATCATATTTTCATGTAGTGTAAATAAGAAAAATTATTTTGTACACTTCAAATAATTGGTTGTTTTGTTAACATAAAAAATGATAATAAAATCAAACTTTTTGATAATATTGTAAAACAAAACTCGCGCATGTAATATTCTAGTGTAGATAATGAGCTAGAATATTTTAATGTATTGTCCTTATTTTTTATTCAAACATACACGCACTATCATGAGCACATATATTATTCCAACACAAGCCGAACAAAAGACACAAATATTCTATACTCTTTTTTGTCTTGGTAATAACTTGCCAACCCCTGGTACTTCGCTATATCTTGCTTGTTCCCTTTTATTGACTCATACTTCATAACGCAACGGATCGTAAGGAATCCTTGATATATGTAGATGTATAACCATATGCATGATTCTTAGTGAGCAGGCTCAGTCCTCCCTGGATGAGCTTGAACAGCCTCACCAGCATAAGCACAACACCGTGAGCAGCCACCGTAGTAGCCTCTATAGCAGCAGCCGTTGGTACAATAGCCTCTACCACGTCCTCCGCCATTACCACCATTTCCAGGGCCGGGGCCTCCACCACCATATACAGGGGGTAGGGGGCCTCCACCACCATATACAGGGGGTAGGGGTCCTCCACCATTTTGCTCAGTATGTATCTTTTCTTCTTTCTCTGTTTCTCAAACCCCAAATTTTCGTGAATTCATATTCTTAACCATGCATCTAATCAATGTTAATCGGATTTCCTACCTAATTCATAAAATAACGTAACTAATAACGTGAGTGATGTGTAATAATTTGGATTCATCCGTATTAAAGCAGACCAATTTTTCGAAAGGGTTGATTGAATAATCAAATCCTATCCGTGCACCAGTTAAGTGATTTATAGAATAATAGACAGATTTCGACTTTTCAAGAATATTCAAATAGCCTTACATGCTTGTTTATCCAGTCTTGCGTATTCTAACAATATATATTTTTGTTAGGGTAAAGACATTTATATGTACGTACCCTTATTCTTATTTTCTGAGTTTTCAGCTAGGTCTCTAGCTGCCACCTCTGAAGCGATGAAAAGAACAACAATGAGACTTAAGAAAAGCCAAGCTTTAGTAGCCATTGTAGACGATCTCTGAAACACTAGTTTTGTTTATCTTTATTGTTTAAGAAACTTAGTGAGTATAGCGTACCATGCAAAACCTCTATTTATAGAAAGTGAGGTGGAGATTATTTTGAGTAAGGGGTTGATTGGTTCACTCGTTACCACCCGCAAACGCATTGTTTGCGGCGGTAGCGGTTGTTAGCGTTTGACAACAATCATGAAAAACGCTTTATACCGCTCTGCGTCGGTCCAAACCTCTCAAATCCAAAAGCTGCTTCCCTCGAACGTTTGCGGGTGCGAGCGGTTACGGTTGGATAAATATAAAAATAAAAATTGATTTTTCTTTTTATAAAAAAGAGAATATTTACTTAAAAATTAAAATAAATATAATAAGTTAAAAATTGATATTTTAGTAACAATAATTACGAAATATATCAACAATTTGAGACTTTATAATTAAAACTTAATAACCTATCATAATTTTATATTTATAAAGTCTTCAAATTGTAATTTTTTTGATAAATTCTTTTTGATCACTGATTAATAAATCTAGTAAGCTAAAATGTTCAAAATCACATTAATCTTTCTAAAATAAAAAAAAATTCTCCATTGAAATCACAATTTTCATATTTTTTCTGGTCACAATCATAACTTTCGTCTAAATTAAAAAATTTTAAAAGGAACATAAGAAATATATTCATGG